ATAATTATTAGAAAAAAGTTTTACTTATTTTCCACAAAATTCTCAATAATTTCCATAATTTTTCGCTCAAATACTAATTCATTACAAAATTTTGGGTTTTGTTTGTTTTGACAATTAGTTTGCAAATTAAATGAATAAACAAATGAAAAGTCATTCAGAAATGAAAACTAGTATTAAATGGAAAAACACTTAAAGTTATTGTTATAATGAGTTGTAATTTAAATCGCTTTTTAATGGCTTTTATCGCAACGACAATGAGATAACAAACACTTTTGTCACCAATAATGACATCATTTGAGAGCTTTTGATAACATTTTTCGATTAATTTCTCTCAAAAATCCCGATTTCTGCCCAAAATTGCGAATTTGAGGTCAAAATTGCGAACAAAATGTTTCGCCGTTTGCCTCAAAACACAACAAAAAACAAAACATTTTTCAGTATTTTTCGGACATTTCTGACTCCTTGTCCTCACATTTGCGGCCATTTGTGGTCACTCTCTGCGCGGACGCGAATCCGTGGACTAAAATCTTTGCCCGAAAGCAGTACTGAAACGAGATTTCGGTACAAATCAAAGGTCTCTTCATTGGAGACAATGGTTTGAAACAAAGTATTTGAAACTTTGAGACACGGATTGGACTTTGAATTGATAGATAAGTGGAAAGCGCGATAAAAAGCGCCGAAAAGCGTCCCAAAAGTTCACTTTTGTCTTCACAACCATTGAGTGAACGTTAACTCAGTTTTCATTTCAGAGCAGCGATGAGTGAATTCACGGGAAAATACAAACTCGAAAAGAGCGACAATTTCGACAACTTTCTCAAGGAGTTGGGTAAGAGAGACCTCGAGTTCCCCCTAACTAACAGCCCTTCTAACGGCCCTTCCCTCCCTCCCAGGCGTCAACTTCATGTTGCGAAAGTTGGCGAACTCGACGTCACCGACGCTGGAGATCACGCGAAACGGCGACGAATTCGTGTTCAAAACCGTCTCAACGGTCAAGACCTCGACGATGACCTTCACTTTGGGCAAAGAGTTCGA